AAAAAAAAACCCTATGGCTAAAGTGTTACAATTCCAAACAAAACCTTAACATAGACATTTATTAATGATACTTTTGATACTAAGCTCCAAGATGACAAAATAAAATATCAATTCATACTAAAATGAATATTTCTACATGAAATGATAAAGGGTAAATTTAATGAGAATATAAAAAAATTTTAGAATGTTATGGTACTAATTTTGTTCTCAAAAATATATACTAAATTTTTGTTTTAAATTGACTTACCGTATAATTTCAAAGGTCATTAATTTCTGCCTTCTCATCTTAACCTTTGTGCACGGTTAAACAATCCCGGATTATGTGTTAGTGAAAAATACTGTCTTGTAATCAAACGTTGGGTATGGTGATTGTAGGAATTACATAACTTTCGTAAATATCTTATACTTGGCCCGCGGATCTTTATCGAGTATACCCAGTCGGCCAGTCCACTGAAACTAGCATCATAGAATTGGGCGAAAAAAAATCTTTTAGTATAGTAAATATCTGCATGTCTTAAAATATACTTTTAAAGACCTTAGTATGATAACGATTCACGTGTATACCCCGTAAATGTCAGAGCAACAAAAACCATCAAAGATATCACAGTTAAAGCCCAGGACCAAAATTTAAAACCATATATTTAATCAAGCTTGTGCATGAGCAGTGCCTCTGGTGAAGGTTCATGACCTCGGGAATTCAATAAAGACCTGGATGACACGGTTAAAGCGTTCGCTTAACGCATTCTCATTCAATAGAAAAGAAATAATGATGTCAAAAGTCACAACGTAACGTAACGAATACGTGTTACATAATGTTTCTAATAAACAAATCAACGAAAAAAGAGAAAGCTGGCTACAGCTCATCATAAAGTCTGCATTGACTAACCTCTAGTGGTGCTTTCCACCTCCACGAGCAAGAATTGTCTCTTGGAACTTCCAGCCGGTTTCTTTAACAGCCTGTTGAATACAAATATACACAGTTATTTATGGATTAAATGAGAAAAGATTAAGTTAAGGTGTGTGTAAGATGCTCACACACACTCAAAAATGCAAGGCAAATCCAACATCATTAACACCAGCACCGAACAACTCTTTCAACTACCATACCTTGCTGTAATCTAATCCAGCAGCCTCAAATGCCAAGAAAGCATCTGCAGACAATACGTCCGGCCACTGCAAAATTAGCCATGAGGAGTTTTAGATTGCATTACAATGGGCAATGTAAAGGAAAATGTACAGAAATTATTGAATCACAAAGTTTTCTAGGTCTTGGATCATAAATCACAATAAACTATACCTTGTAACTGTAGTAACCAGCCACGTATCCACCTGAGATTCACCAGTGAAAATTAACACAAATATAGGCAAAGGTTGAACCAAAGAAACAAAATACGTATGACAAATAATTTTTTTTAAGAAAAAAAAAAGAAGAAGAGAGGGCACACCTGCAAATATGTGGCTGAAACTAGAAAGGAACTTATCTTATGGTAATGGAGGGATCAACTGTGTCCGCCTTGAAACTCTCTGATCAACATCATA